GTGTTCTGTTGTACATAGGGTTTTCAGAGGCCTGCTATTTCAGAAGTGGATGGCCAGTCCTTCTTCCTAGTCTGTCTTAATCTGAATGTTTAGATTTAGAGGAGTATCTGACAGACAAGTAATTTGTGGAGCAGTGAAAGATAAATCCCTCATTGTGGAGTTAATCATTAGTTACAGTATTGACCCTACTCTTAGCCCAGTGCCTTGACCCATTTATTTCCCAGCTCCACACTCCACCAGGATACCACTTCACTTCTACCAAATCCCTTCAGATTATCTTTCATTGTCCAACCCATGATCTGACTGCTTGTATCTGACCCTTTCTTGGGTTAATTAACATTAGCTGAGTTCAAATTGCCTGCTTTCTATGGCTTTGTCAGTTATTAGATTTTGTGGTATTTTTATGTTAGCCCATGTGCTTTTTAGTATGCAGCATGATAGATGTTCAGAGAACTTTTAAAAAACAGGTTGTTTCTTTTCTTTGTTCATGGAAACTTTCTGGCTTAAGCCTTGTCATCATCTCCTGCCATCCCACTGCACTCATACTCTTAGTCCTCAGAAACACCTGATTTCTCCCAGAATGTACCATACTGTCTCTAATCTTTACATCTTTGCCCACATTGAATTCACTTAGTAAAATGCCCATCCTTCCAACTTACCCATCAAGAAACTATTGTTGAATAAGCACCAAGGCTGATTTTTATTTAAATCACAGTCAGTCCAGTAAAGAGACTGTAGAGATAGGAAAAAGATTTTTATCCCACTAAAAGGTCAGCTGTTTAGTTGGTTCTGACTCAGTGGTACACAACAGCAATCCTTTAAATAGCCAAATGCAACCCATTTCATACATATGCACTAGAGAATCTGCCAGAAGCTCCCTAGAAAGATGGGCAATCTCATGTGATTGATGGCCTCTGAAAACCCACAGGAGGGGCAGCTGTTAAGTTGTTCTAACTAAGTGGCAGTGAGTTTGAGAGATGAGATATGTTTTGAAGTCCTCAAGGAAGAGAGCTTGACTTCACTGTTCATCCTAAATTTACCTGATTCTTTGGATAGTCACTTATATTTGCTAATTTCTCATATTTTTTGCATGAGCATAAATTTGCAACTTAGAGCTAAGTACCAGCTGACTCCTACTCTTCCAAGTACTAAGCAATAGGTACTTCTTTCTTGATTGATTACATTTTAAGGTAGTGTCAATCAGGGCCTTGAGGAAACATTCCTGGATTATAAAACTGGCAAGAGGTTTATTTAGCCCTTCAAAAGACTATATACATCATAGAGACATAGAGAAAGAATTTACAATGACAGATTTTCTAAACGCAAATCTGTTAAATAAGGAGGTAGAGAAGAAGAGGGTAGACCTTTCTACTTTTTTATTCCTTAAAGGCAAAAGCCTACTCTCTTTTTCATTTTTCCCCCCTAACTTCTATTTGCCATTCCAGCATGTCCACAGATGAACCGTAGAGGGCTGCAAGTATTGATTGTGGAGTTAAAAATTTTAGCTTAGGTGAGCTAAAAAACATAAAATCCACAAATGAACAACTCTGTATTTCAGTATTAAGAAGCCTATTTGTTTACCTCCTTTCTTTATACTGCTGGAACACTTCAGTTGTAAAATTCTTAAAATGTCTTACTGGTCAGCTTCTTTCAGCCAAAAGCTATTGAGAGTGACATGAGGTAACGTAAGCTAATTTCATGACTAAAGTAGCACCTTCCTTCTTATTAGAATATAAAGTACCTATAGAACATTCTTCAAATGAGGGATGTCACAAACTCTGGTGTTAATTCTCCCTGGGAAATTTACAATTATTCTCCACTTAGGTTTCTCTAAAATAGTAGATTATCTAAGAAGCAAAATTTTTGGTTTAAAACCACTGTTAAAAAATAGAAAAGGTGTTAAGCTACTTCATCATCATTCTGTAATAATTATGTTTGATGTATAGGATTAATATGTTTGATGCAAGATCAAATTTAGATAAAGTCTAATAATGGCTATGTAACATATAGCATAACCCTAAGAGAAATATAGGGGTTTTTCTCATCACGGTAATAATCGGTTAACCTAGTTAATGTAACTAAGAACTCTGACTGTAAAATAGCAAATTGTGAATTTGTGCTAAAATTTTGACATATGACACTTATTGTTGCTTATTTTTGCAGAAATATTATGACTCTTCGAAATCATTTAGTTTCAAGCACACCTGCCACGGATTATTTTCTGCAACAAAAAGACTATTTCATCATTTTCCTCCTGATACTGCTTCAAGTCCTAATAAACTTCATATTTAAGTAGAAGTTCTTTATAGTTGAATCAATGAACTGTATTTGGCCTGGGACCAATGTTCAAGTTGGTTTGGTCTTTATTAAAACATCACAATATTTCTAAAAGGAAAAATGTTAGAGATAAATGTAGATGTGTTGACTTTTCATACCTTTTATTATTAACCTGAAACAAGAGCTATCCTATTTGGTTGTTAAGTGAGCTATATGTTAAATAACAGAGCATTTCTAGCTTTTGTGTGTCTACATGTGAATATAATAAATCCACATGTATATACTGTTGTCTCTTATGTACTCTTATCTGACAGTAGTCTTTATATAATCTGTAATAGTGTGTTTGTTCTACAATATATCATTAACATTTTTTCCTAACAAAGATGCTATCAATCTTATAAATAATGTATGTATTCTGTTTTCTTCATACAGTAGGCACAAAACATTTTTTTATAAAGAATTACAGAATGGCAATGATGGAGTAATGAACAAAAATAATTCAGTACACTAATAATGGCTTGTTTTGGATCAGGTCGGGGGAATGGGTTTCTTCTTAAAGGGGAAAAAAAAAATCTTTCCAAAGCACCCAGCTAAATTCTTTAGAAACAAAAAGGATGTCTGAATGGTCAAAATGTATGTATTGAGAAAGGAAAATAGCAGAATGTTTTTGAAAAAGTTTACACAGGACTTTTTTTATCTTTAGTTATACATGTTCATATATATATATATCAATGTAAAAACTAGTATACGCTATTGGATTAAGTGATCATACTATCTTTCTTATCTTACTTACATGATAACCACCGTAAGCCCTTGAGGGGGAATGAATGGTTAAAGTAGATTGAAGCTCTTCTTTTTTTTTTTTTTTGTTCACCTGGTAAATAGCATAGGCTAAATTCTAGAATAGGGATTGGAGCATATGAAATGCTAATAGTTCATGCTATCTCATTTAGACTTTATTGTGTCAGTAGATTAGAAAAATTAACCAATATTTTATTCGAAGCCAAAAAAGAGAAAGGCAATATAAAGGAAAGATAGTCATTCTGTTTGGTAGTAACTATGGATACATTAGAATTTGATTTCTTTAAAATGTGCAATAAGTTGAGCAGAGTCAAGGTCTGATGTTGAATTCTTCTTATCTTTCTCTGTTCATGGTAACTTCCTTCTTTGGTAAAACCACAATTCTTCCAGATCGCTTTTGTTCAAGCTCAGGCAAGCTCCCCACCATGCTCATTTTAATATTTTGACTTGTGGGGTTTTTTCCTGTTAATTTTTGTAATCCTCAAAAGCAATTTTTTACTCTGGCCACACATTTGCCTTTGACAGAGAAGAGTAACAACTAATAAAAGTTAATCAATTGGTTATGCCATGGTAAATACAGAAATCAAGGAAAGATTGCTAAATTTTGAAAATGGTAAAGAGATTGAGGGTTTCTTGTTTCTTTTCCTAACCAGTATAGCAACCTTAAGTATATAATCTGTGTGACCCTAAGGTCTCTATGAAGAGCCATTTACTATATAGTATTGACAAAACAATACTGTACTACAGGTATACATGTGAAAATGCTTTAAGTTCGTTAAAGCATAGTAAGATATACCAATATCCAGTATTTTCATGACTACACAAGAATGAGTGGAGTTTTTTTTGTTGTTGCATTTCCTATTTTTTTGTCAATCCAGTTTTTGTACTCACATTCTGTTACCAATGTAATACTCAACTGTATAGTCATTGATATAATATTTTGTAAATATTGTACAATTAGATCTTTTATATGGTTTAAATTAGTATTTATATAATACATAACTTAATTGGCTGATCACAAAAATTTCTTCATTAAATCCTGGAAAACATCTTTTTGACTGAAGACCCTCCATGAGATTTTTATTTTGTCCATGTATATATTTTTTTCATTTGGTCTACATAGTGTTTTATTTGTGTAGGTGTCCTCTAAAACTAGAAAAATAATTATTTTACCTTTTCTTTTGTATTTACAATTAAAAATGCTATAAATCCTACCAATTCCTGTGCTTATAATCCCCTTTGTTACTGGATTATATTAATAAGGCAGGATTAGTGTCAGGTGTATTTTAAATCATCTCTTTTTAGTTACAAGAGATTAAACAAGGAAAACAACAAAGCAAGAAGAGACAGGGTCCTTAAGGAGTTGCGTTGCTAACCCAAAGGCTTCTCTGAAGGTTTGAATCCACCAGCAGGTCCACAAGAGAAAGATGAGCAATCTCCTCCCACGTGATTTACAGCCTCTGAGACCCATTGACGGATTGGCTATGAATCTATCTGTTTTGAGCCTCTTAAATTGAGGGGGAATAAATTTTTGTTTGTTAAAGACATCCATTTGTGATATTTATGTTTTAGCAACACTAGATAACTAACTTAAAGACTGTTTCTTATATACTAAAAGCACATTATTGTCTGTGCTTTTAGCTGTATGAGTTCCTTTCTGTGAACTGCACACAAAACTCAGGAATTGATGGTTTAGTTCTAGATCAATGCTTATACTCGGCTTACAGTATGAATCGTTTAAAATATAATTAACTTCGTATTTAGCCATAATATGTAATTGACTTTGAATGTCCTGAGATTGATCTTCTTCACGTATGGTTTATAAAATTTCTGATTTAGTTCCCACTTGTCTGAGAGTCTTATGATGGTGTTTAAGACTTAAGACCTTAAGATTAATTCTTTTTTCCTTTGATCAAAAAATTTTATTTTCTCACATGAAAATATGTGATTGATATGTTCATTTTTCTTTAAGCTGTTAAATTTACTATGCCTTCAGTTATCCACTACTTAGTGAGATGGAACTCTAGATATAGGAAGAGATAATAAAACATGTGAAATATTAAGTTTCAGCAATAGCTATTTTTCTTATATTTCATGTCACTTTTTTTGTATCACTTATAAATGTACAGTTTTGTCTTTCTCTCTGCTTGGTTGGCAATTTCATTCCATTGAAAAGTTGGCCTTGTAAAATAAACCTTCATGTAGTATTCATGCTTTTGTGCCTTTAAGAAAATCTTTTTGTCATTTTTGTGTTATAGAACTTTAATAATGATTCAAAGTGTTTATAGGCTTAATTGTCATAAAAGGGTCATCTTTGTCACTTTATTTCATTTTATATAGCAGTGCTGTACTTTTTATAAGGTTTTGTCTATTTACCTATTTCAAATATATTCTCCATTCTCAGACATCATTAAAATAGACTTGTCAGGTTATCTGAGTATTGTAAACAGTGCCTTTTCAATGGAATTCACACTGTTTGGATGTCAACTTGTGCCATATACACAAAATTTTGTGGGAGGCAGTTTTAACTTTTTGAAGAATATCTTAGGTCAAGTATTTAAGAAAACAATTATTAAAATTCACTTTTTCAAGTGTCTAGCATTTCTAGTGAGCAAGGAGTGAGTATGATTTTGTTTGACATGTTATAAACCACACTATACTGCAGATTATCTGAATCATGTTAAATGTATAGAAATAAATATTAAACAACATTTTTACCAAATTTTCCATTAAGAAATCAGTAAGTTTACATTTCAATTTTTATCATATTTGACTAAGTGGAAGAGATTCTTTAAAAATATGTAACCTGCCACTATGTTGTAGTTTGGTTTCATTTTGTTGTACTGTGTAACATTAACAAATTTACATTTTTGTTAAGTCTTAATAAGAGCATATTGTTTGTTACAGTTTTAATTGAAGATAGACTGTTAAAATGTATAGGACCAGTGTCATGTTAATATGATTAGCATATTTAGAAGAGCCACAGGAAGCCCATGACAAAATGAATGTGACAGTACTTTCTAAATTTTTGGAAAATTTTATCCTGCATTTATCATTTAA